AGGAAAATGGAAGATGACACACTGCTCATAGTTTGGGACAATGTGTTGTCAAAGAAGGAGCTCAGAAATGAAATAAAGTGGTTACTGACAGGTTTCTGTACTAACTTGATTTTACTTATGGTATGTAAATGGGAAAGCCAGTTTCATTAATGGATGAGGTGATTTAAGATGAATAGTTCTTGAACTGAGAATCCGCAGAGTCCCTCACACAGTCTGAGATAACATTCATTAAAAAAATATTATGGCAGGGGCATAAAGCATACATATGTTAAAAGGGACCAAAAATGTTTTGCTAAGCATTGGATTTTTGCATTGGGTCAATAAGTGGTTCAGGCTGGGTGCAAAGTTTTGGTGAACAGAAAATGCTTTTTGACCAGGTAGCTAGTCATGTTATTCATCTCCGTGTAGTCTTTTAGCTACAGTAATGTGTACAAATGCCAGTATACTCACTGAGTCTTGAAGTCTAGTCACATAATGATATCAACAATGGGTGAAGGACCTTGCAAGTCACAATGGGAGCAGACACCACAAAAAAGCACTGACGAGAGCATAGCTGCAGCAGACTTCACTACAGCTCCACACAGAACCAACAAGAAGACTAATGGCAGTATGGAACTGATTCAGTACCAGAACTGATGAGTAAGATCACATCCAATAAGATCTAAGTGATACTCTACCCTAAGGGACCAACTGACAAAGACAAACTAAGCTGGAAGGCAAGCAGGAAGAAGGAAACCCTGCAGGTGTGGATGGAGGTGGGTACACACCTGTAGCCCAAATGCCAGAGTCTAGAACAACATTAATCTAGCTGTTCAAATGACTTGTTTCACCATAAAATCAACCTGTACAGTAATCTCTTTTTGCTTCAGTTGTACCTCTACTGCTTAGCATGTTGTTGTTAATGTTGAGTATTTTAATGTTATTTGTAATGAGGATTAAGTTCCAAAAAAGCAAGCTTCAACATTCAATATCCAAGGGCCGAGAAAGGCTGGCAGTGGAGCATGATCTGGGAATGCTCTGGTAAATGTGCCCCAAAGCAAGTGTCAGCCAGAAAATCTGCTCTGAATGTGGCTTCTGGGAGCTGCTAATGCAGGTATTGTCCTTCTCCTGAAATGATGCCAAGCTTGAGAAATATTTGAGCCATGTTCCATTTTAGCTGGTGTTAATATTTTCACGGTGTGGCTATAATAAACCAGGAGTTGACTGGTAGCACTTTATCACCAAGATCAAATGTATGGCTTAAAGTAGTGTTGACAGGGGTTAAATGAAGGTGCTGGATAATCACCCTACAGTGTGAAAAGCTCGTTTTCAATTCCCTGTTCACAGATCAACAAAATGGTTCTCACTTTCTGGCACACTAGCAAAAAGCACTTTGAAGTTTAAGACTTGGTTTAAGGTTAGGTTAAGCATTTACTATAGTGGTGATGATTAAAGTTAGGGTATGGGGCTAGAGACTACATTATGTCAGGATTCATTTATAAAGTGAGGATGAACAGTCTCTGCTAACCTGCTGGCACTGGAGAAAAAAAAATAATGTAAACATAACTGCAAAATGCTAAATCTTTTCAAAGCTCCAATTTTACAATAAGACAGGAACCACTGTTACTGTGTGTTTAAGGCTATTCAATGAATCCTGCCAAGGTTGAGTGCTTGACATGTTTTTAAGAGTTTCAGTTTGAAGATCAGTGACAGATGTCATACTGGAAAATGTCAATGTAATGCTTATAACTTAGTCATCTCTAAAATCACTTTCTGCATGTGCATGTTGCACATTTAACATTAGGGCAGCATGACTTGGGAAAATAATCTAAGTGAATTCTTTACAATATTACAACTGAATTGTATTTGTATTTTTCACTTTCCTCTCTAACTAGTATTTTGGCTGTAGGCTAAAGCAGTAAATATGGAACAAGT